TCTTCTTCTTCTTCTTGGACCTTGATAAGCAGTCTCCCTCCATCCCTCCATCCTCCCATCTCGCCATCCCTCCCCCCCTCCATCCCTCCATCCTCCCATCTCGCCATCCCTCCCCCCCTCCATCCATCAATCCATCTTCTTCTTTTTCTTGGGCGTTGTTAAGAAGTCTCCCTTCATCCCTCCATCCTCCCATCTCGCCATCCCTCCCCCCCCTTCATCCCTCCGTCCTCCCATCTCGCCATCCCTCCCCGCTTCTCCATCCCTCCATCCTCCCATCTCGCCATCCCTCCCCCCCTCCATCCATCCATCCATCCATCCATCTTCTTCTTCTTCTTCTTCTTCTTGGACGTTGTTAAGCAGTCTCCCTCCATCCTCCCGTCTCGCCATTCATCACCCCCTCCATCCATCCGTCCATCCATCTTCGTCTTCTTCTAGTTCTTCTTCAACATTGGTTAGCAGCCTTCCTCCATCCCTCCATTCTCCCATCTCGCCATCCCTCTCCACCTCGCTCCATCCATCCATCCGTCTTCTTCTTCTTCTTGTCGTCAGTCTTCTTCTTCCTCTTCTTCTCGTGAGTCTTCTTCATTTTTTGTCAGTCTTGTTCTTCTTCAGAATGAAAGGGTCGATAACATGCATGCAGCAGACATCAGAGCAGCAGGCAACAAACATGCAGAGCCCCCAACCCAGTACATATCAGATGACATACATTCAGCATACAGCAGGCAACATACATGCAGAGCCCCCAACCCCCAGACACCCCCCCCAACCCCAGCACCCCCCACCCAGACCAACCCCCCCACCCACACCCCAAAACCAAAATTTTATTCTGGATTCGGGGTCTTCTCGCCGAGCGCAGAACGACCCCGGTTTCAAAAAAAAAATAAAAAAAATCTCGGCGGTTTTTTGGCCCGCCCGGTTTTCCCGGGCGCCCCCCCCGGCCCAACCGCCGAGCCCGGCCCGGGCGGGCGGCATCCTCACTCAGCAATATATAGTACTATTTTATCTATTATCTGCATTCAGTGCATTGCTAATTTGCTATGCAATTCTATCCGGTACTCTAGACTCGTATAGAGTAGTGAAAGGCAGTAGAAAAGTTCTTTGCAGTGTATGGGAGTGTCTGTCTGAAAAGCTGCAGTATTACATCAGGGCTGTGCAGCATCACATTTTTTTGGCTGCCCTTGGCGGCCCCGCCTAGAACGCATGGTCATTATAGCTGGGAGTTCTATTCGGGTGAAAACAGTAGTTCAATGCTCTGCAGCCTATTATCTGAACATGTGTGCTCATTGCTGCATGTTGCATCATCTTTGCAGTTCCTTCCACACTAGTTTTCCGGTGTTTCATTTCACAATTCCCCCCTCCTCCCCCCCTCCTCCCCCTCCTCCTCCTTCTTCCTCCTCGTCCTCGTCCTCTTCTTCTTCTTCTTCTTCGTCTTCGTCTTCGTCTTTGTCTTCGTCTTCGTCTTCGTCTTCTTCTTCTTCTTCTTCTTCTTCTTCTTCTTCGTCTTCTTCGTCTTCTTCGTCTTCTTCTTCTTCTTCTTCCTCTTCTTCGTCTTCGTCTTCGTCTTCGTCTTCGTCTTCGTCTTCGTCTTCGTCTTCGTCTTCGTCTTCGTCCTCCTCCTGCGCTTCTGCTGCTGCTGCTCCCTTTTTTTTTCTTCATTTTCATGCCCTCCTTTTGTCTGATTGATTGCCTGTGCCATAGATGACGCCCCGACTCTTCTCACAGTTTTGTTGTTTGTTTTTCTGCTGTTTCAGCCTGTGAGTACATCAGAGGATGGAGTAGTGCGATATGGTTTTGGGCGTCTTGCGTCTGCTCTTGCACCTCACCGGGCTGTTGTTGCGGTAAGCTTTGTGCTCTATAGCACCTGTGCCCTCTCTCACTCCCAATCCCTCACAATAGTGATGCTCATTTTCCGTCCAGGTCCTTGGTCCTCCAGGGTGAATTCATAATAGTTATATTATTTCATAATAATTCATAATAATGCATATGCATTCCACGTGCGGTCCTCCAGAGTATGCCCATATTTTTTTGACCCTTCGCCAGGAACATCTGGGGCAGGATTGGGATATGCTGGTTGACGTGTCCCATGAGGACCTGGGACGTGAGTGGACTTGCCCCATATCCCAGGTCCTCATGGGACACGTCAATCAGCATGAAGGGCATGAAGAGCATGTGGACCATTAACTGGCATTCAGACTGTAGCTGGTTGCGGCTCAGAGCAATACTGATTTTCATGCCACTTAAGTTATATGCTTTGTTCTTTTCTTTTTTTTTTTATATTAGAAATATGGTACACCATCTCCCTGAGAAGAACTGAGCTAAAGCCCAAACAAAGCCTCAGACCACGGCAAGGGTGAGTGAGGGTCCTTGCCTTTCTGGTTATATTGCATGCCCGCACAGCTGGATCAGGCAAGTCTGTATGTTGTTAGGCCAGACAGGCAGACAGCCTGATACTGCTCAGAATGCTTTGTAAGCTTGGGCCTTGTTGCTGCTGCCTCTCTCATAGGTCTTCAGTCAGGGCACTTTGTACGGATCGCATGTCCAAGGGACATTCCAGAGGTACCACTGTCTGTCGATAGGCCCAACAGTCTGAAAGCCTATTGACATGTCAGTGATGTCATATATGAAGCAAATGTCCGTCGTGCAGTGCCTGTAGTCCTTGCCTGAGGGGTTGTAAAAGCATTCCAAAACTTTGGTAGTCCGTTAACCCCCTCTTGTTTTCATCCAAAGTGAGATTGCGAAGAAGTCTATGACCTCCATGGTAAGTGGAGCATGAATGCCATGGTAATCCTCTATGACTTCTTTGTTTTTTTTGCCCCAGGTAATTCACAATGATTTTATTTTGTTCATCTGACAGTATCTGGATTCGAACTCAGGTCTGTATTTCAACAGTTCATGGATGTACCCAGTGAGCTAGGGCTGCTGGGGCCGTTTGTATGACTTTGTTTTTCTTTTTAACAGGTCCTTATGGTCCTGGCTCTATATCCATTCTGGGGAGCGTCAGTCCGGTTCCTATTGCCCCGGCAAGTCATAAAAGCAGAATTACATCATTGAACTCACACCCCCCCCCTTCCGTCTGGCTGAAGGGTCCCTGAACAGCATTGATTGCTCCACTGTTGTGGAGGATTGACTGTCAGCTTGCCTTTCCCTGAGTCCCCTCTCAGATTCCTCTGTGGGAACCTGTCAGCTAAACGATAATGCAAGGAAAAGTTGGACAACAGAGATCAGCCACTGGATTTACACTGGAAACATCTCATGTGGCTCTGAAATCTTGTTGCTCGTCATGGTGCGAACTTCTTATCCCCTGGGGGGTAGTAGAGTTATGCCAGTCTTTCCATCTGATTTGTAGTTTGTGAAATGGTATTCACCTGATCGCAGTAGGCGATGCAGATGCCAGGGCTCGATCCCTAGTCCTCGCCTTACCTGTGTATAGTACCTGTGTTGACCCCGAGGGTTGAACCCGTGACTTGTTTATTTATAACAGTTGGTAGGCCGTCGTAGGTCTGTAGGTGATAGGGGTTCGATTTGTAGACCTGTCGGATAGGAGCCCTAGTGAGTTCTAGAAGTCGTAGCTGTAGCATGACCAAAGGGTCGAGGTCGTAGCTGCTACAGTCCTGAAATGTCAAGGTCGTGGCTGCTACAGTAACGAAAGGCCAAGTCCACGGCCTTCCGGAAGGTCCTAGCAGTGGCCTTTCGAAGTTGCCCACGTTTAGGCTGAGGCAAGTGGGCAAGTGGGGGAGTCTACCCGTGCTGAGTCAGCAGTCCCAGTCCCAGTCAGTCCTAGTCCAGTCAAGCAAGTACCGTATGGGACTGTGTGCACTACGGGCATGGGAAAGGGCCAGACCAACGAGCTGCAGAAGTATAAATCAAGAGGCAGCGCCCAGCCATTCATTCATTCCTGCGTAAGCCATGCAGAAGCGCTGCTACAGCGACTTGTGCGAGGTGGTCTGCAGTATGCCCGAAGACGAAGTGGGCGAGAAGGAGAGTTTAGCCATAGCGGTAGGGGTAGTAGTGGCCATAGCCGCCATAGCTGTTAGGCAAATGTAGTGTGTGTGTGTGCGTGTGTACAGTGTGTACATGTGGGATATCCAGGGTGATCCTATGTGAGTGTGTGCAAGCAGTGGTGTTGGACACAGTTATGAGAGTTGAGTGTGCAGGCGCTGATGCGCCATAGCTTGTTGTTGCGAGTTTGTATCCGAACTGTGTTCCTGGCTTCCATATCTCTGAGCTTTGAGTGGGCGCTATGCGCCAGTGTGAATCTCCATCTGTTTGCATGTATGCGAAGTGGCAAAGAAAGCGAGTCTGATTGCATTTGTGAATATCCGCCATCTTTCTGTGGACCAACCATACTATCCTGAACTTTGATACCAACTCTTGTTGTCCTTCTGGGTCCTGCTGAATTTGGATCTTAACCTTCTTCCATTGGCACAGGATCTCAGTCTCCATAAAAAGTATCGTCGTTGCCCATACCCTTTCACTCGGATTGCTTTTGATTGTTGCAGTGATGCATTTTCGTTTCTCTGCCGGCATCAAATCAGCACCACTCCTGGCGGAGTTAAACACCACTGCGTGTTTTTCATGCAGATTGTCCAATTCCGGCACTTTGCCATCTGGGTACTTCCAGATAACTGTTTCTTCCTCCTTTCCTTCAGCTTGTGTCTTCGTCTGGCCTGCTTCTGTGGTCAAGTTCACTCTGAGAGAGCGTAGTGGCGAGTGTAGTCGACTGTTGCAATCGTCGCATTTCTTGCAGTTATCGATAGTGTGATGACCCGTCCATACATGGACTGAAACACACAGTTGATTTCTGAGTTTTGCCCATAGACTGAATGCCCTGCTGAGTTTCCCGCTTGCTACTAAGTCTGTGTGTGCACGCTTGCTGGACTGCATGTCTGTCTGAGTGCTGGATGGCTTGAGTGTGTGCGTGACCATGCCTGTCTGAGTGTTGGCTGGCCTGGGTGTGTGTGTGACCGTGCCTGTCTGAGTGCTGGTTGGCATGAGTATGTGTGTGGCCTGTCAGGGCACTTGCTCGTTCGTTGGGCCCTCAGGGCCGGTACTTACCTGTGGCCGTGACATTGAGGGGTTGCAGCGGGGAAAAAACACTCAAGTAGCGGGTAGGCCGGTACCGCACCTGGAAGGGGTAGATGTGCAGGTACCGGAGGCCGAGCAGAAGAAGACAAAAGTGGCATTTTTTAGAGGCCCAGTAGTTGTAGGTAGGTCTAGGCGGATATCGGTCCAACCAGTCTGGGTCTAGGGCCTCTAACGGGCAATATCAGAGTCTGCAATGATGTTTCCCTCCGAAAGGGAGGAGGTACCGGTTGCTTGGGAGGCCGAGCGGCCTGGAAGTCACCGCCCAAGAGGCAAAGCAGGCCGCTATATCTTCTGGCCGGGCCGAGAGTCCGGCCTCTTTTTCGGTGTGCAAGTTTGGCGACACACTGGTGGAGCGCTGGCTGGAGCAGCGCTAAGCTGGAGCAGCTCTGCTGGGGAGGAAGGAGAAGGACACAAGGGAGGAAGGAGGAGGAAGTAGGAAGGAAGGGGGAGGAGCGCCAGGGGTACTTACCTGGCTATGGTGGCAGCCATCTTCATCACCTTGGTGGGCGCTGCAGCAGGGAGTCCCCAGCTGGGGAGAACTACACCAAGAAGCTTCGAGGCAGGGTCACGCATGGCGGCCTGAGCTAGAGCAGCCATAGCTGCTTCGGGTTCTCCTTTGGGCATCTGAGCAGAGCCCAGTAGTCCGCCATAGCCTCGGCCTATGAGAGTGGAGTGAAGAGTGGGAGAGGCGGCGATGGCTATGGTGGACCTTAAGTGATAGCTGCAGTAGAAGAGGGACTCGGACATTGATTCTGGATCAGTCATTCAACATTGTATTATTATTTCTTGTATGAATAAGAGAAGGGGGAGATAAGGAGTAGGAGATTGTTGGGCGAAGAAGAAGAGCCTTGTCATTGTATTTGCTGGTGTACATCTTCTTCTTCTTCTTTCTTACTTCTTCTTCTTCTTCTAATCCTCTCTCTCTCCTCTCAAGTTCATTCATTTCTTTCTGCAATTGGATGGCATTGTACTTTCCGGTGGATGTGTATCTCGAAATTGGCCAGGGTCATAACAATAGTGCTTAAGAGGATCCTGGATGGCCAGACAGCTAACGGCGGAGATCTCGTCGAGCTCACCCCCTAGCTGGCCTATGCGATCGAGGTAGTACTGTCCACCAGATAGATGGCTAGATAGGGTTGTCCTGCCGATCAACGGCGAAAACCCTCTGCGGATGGGCGTATCAGTGAGCCCTCACGATAGATCACTTCGCACTCAGTCCCGCACGCACGTGGCTTCGGTCCCCAGGGGCCAGGGCTGCTTCACGCCTTTTTTGGAATTGGAAAAGGAGCAAAGGAAACTAGGGGTGCAGATCTAGTTTCGGCCATAAAGTCTGCTGTTGCCGTCTTAACTTCTGCTCTTGGATTCTGCCCTAGATCTGTACTAGATTCTTCGCATTAGATTCTCGGTGGGACCCTCTGTTGTGCACGAACTCGTAGAGGATTCCCAGGGCTACGGAGCGCTTTTTCCGTAATTGGAAAGGCAAACCGCCCTTTGGAGTACGTAGCAGGTCATGTTGTGTTGTGCCATGTCGTGTTGTGTCTTACTTGCGCCCTGTCGTTTCTTTCTTCATTAGAGGATGGAAATCCCCCCCCGCCTTGATGAACGGTTGGATAGTGCACACGGATGCTCCCTTGGAGGGAGGAGCTTGAAAACCAATCCCCACCGTTCTTCTGGTTTGCTCCCGATTTGATGAACGGTAGGATATCACTTTTCTACCGTGCAAAGTACAGCGTGAACTACAGCACGAAGCTTAGCGCACCCGTCTGCCTAACTACGCGGAGTTGCACCGTGACGCTGCCCGTCGCGCTTCTGCGCGATGGGAGATGCGACGATGGCACAGCGGAGGTCGGCGTGGCTCCTTTCAGTTTAGCGTATCAACTTAGCGCTAACGGGCGGCGCGTTCGTTGTCCGTTTACGTTCTATGAATCTATGGTTTAAAATTCTTGCTTTGTTTTTTTCTTTTCTTTTCTTTTTTTCCTTTTTTATTAAAAACAGCCTTGAGATATCATCATGGAAATGACTGGGCCCAGCTAATTCAGAATTATTTCATGTCATTGATCTGGATTCGAACTTAGGTGACTGTATTTCGTACTCTGTTTCATTTGATAACTTTGATTGTTGCTCGGTTGTTTGCTTGGTCGTTGGTCAGTCGCACCCAAATCTACCAGAGCGGGTGAGGCATGGAGAGGATGTGAACCATTCAGATTGTAGCTGATTGTGGGCATCGTTGCACCACTCGCCACCTGCGGACATTTTGTCCAGATGCATTCAAAATCTTGGCGGATGGCAAGTTGTGCAACTAGGCCCTGTGCCTGAGAGCACTACTTATCGAAATGCCATGCTTGCTTGCTTGCTAGCTTCCTTTGCTTGCTTGCTTGTTTCCGTCCTTGCTTGCTTGCTTGTTTCCGTCCTTGCATGGTTGCTTGGTTGGTTGCTTGGTTGCTTGGTTGCTAGCTTCCTTTGCTTGCTTGCGTGCTTGCTTGCTTGCTTGCTTGGCTCAGAATCCTCAGATGCGCCAAGTCTACCAGACTGGATTTGATTTCGGGTTTTGGACTTCAATGTCTAATGGAATCTCTGAGGGCATAGTCACACCAGCACTTACCTAAATGTATCCGACTCCAATTACGGCCACACACCTGGATGCATTTGACCGCAATCATGTCCAGAGCTCAGTTGAAAAGGTCCTTGTCGGAGTATGCTCTGAATCCGGGAAATCCAATGGATTCCTGAACCCGCAAGGAGTACACCTTGATTCCCCTGGCAACAGCAACTTGGACAATCTTGTCGTTTTCTGACTCCACTTTTAAGTTTTAACTTTTAACGAACCTGGCAGAAAATCAGCATGAATCCACAACAGTCTGCAAACAAGAGGTCATTAACAGTAACGTGAAACTTCTCTGGAGGAATAGTGCAAGCAATCCCCCAAAAATATGTAGCGAAGTGAAACTTCCATGACACCGTGTGAAAATCCACAGTAATCAGATGAAGGTTGGCGTGGCACAATCTTCACCGGAGATCAAAAACAGAAGACACAGGTCGATGTCGTAAGCGGCTGCTACCGAAAACCTGCATCACAGAAAACATCAAGCACACATAACAAACACACAGGCAAAACGATTCAAAATCACTGGCAATTTTAAGTCCCGCTCGTAATACAACAAAAGCAATGTCGATCGGCACGAAATGAATCAATGCCGGCGTCGATACTCTGATTGGCTTAGACACCACCAGGGCATCTGCCATAGCCGAGCAGAATACAGTCGTCACCGTCTCTCTTTTTTTTTTCTTCTTCTTCTTTTTTTTTTTTTTTTCTTTTTTTTTTTTCTTTTTTTTTTTTTTTTTTTTTTTTTTTTTGGTAAAACTCGGACCCCTATAGTGCTAGCGACGTCACCGTCTCTCTTAGGAGTACTGCAATAGGTGGATAATGCGCCAGAGGATCCATACCCAGCGTCAAAAGTGGGCTGACACCGGAGCACCAACCTCGTGAAGAGGGAGAGCAGTCGAACGACCACTCGCCTTACAGTCCAGTATGGTATACACATCTGTGCCACGGCGATCCCAGGCAGCGGGAACCAAAAACGACCTCGGGAACCAAAATCAAAATTGAAATCGAAACTGAAAGGAAAATGCCATAGGAAAAGACTGCCCCCCCAAAAACGCAAGAGGCATAGGGCCAAACCTCCGGGCCGAGAAAACTAAAGTTTTTTATGTACAGGTACCAAGATAGCCATACGGGCCCAAAGTCTGCTGTGGCCCCGAAACAAAGGCAAGGAGCCCGCTGGTCTGTCGGTCACTAACATCCTGATTGAGAACACGTACAGGACTCTGTAGACAGCCATAGGTTCATCACAGGAAAGACGGCTCAAGGGCCAGTTTGGCAAGGAAGTCAAACCCCTTATGAAAATCAGTGATCTCTGCTGTTGCTTTCTAAGGGTTTTTTTTTTTTTTTTTCCCTTTTTCGTTTTGTTTTTGCTTTTCTTTCCTTTTTTTTCGCTCCTAAACCGGAATATACTTCCATTGCGAATCTTTGCCATACATACAGTGGAGTGCTGGTATGAACGAGTATGCCCTGAATTCCCGGGTGGCGTTTATAGAAATTGAAGCATGCTCTGATGGACTCAGTTGTCCGCAAAAGTAAAGTGTTCCATCGAAGTAGGAAAGTGTCTTGCAGCTTTCCTCCTTGTGCCTAACTTCCCTCCTCATCATCGCCCTTCACCTCTTCTTGCAAGAACAGTTCGGCGCACAAGGAAAGTCTGTCCAGGAGGAGTTATGCGCTGCGGGTGTCACTCTGCCAATCGAGCGGGAGGAGACAATGGTGGCAGCAGTTGAGCGAGCAGGGCGACTTGTTGAGCCAGGTGGGTACCTTCTTTTCTTTTTCTTTGTTGGGGGG